AAAAAAAAAAAAAAAAAACAAGGATCGGTGTTGAGGTTCACATTGGTAGTGGCCACAACGAAGGTGGCGGCCAAGATAAACCAGTAGAACGTCGCCTGCCTCATTGCATGTGTAGGTTTAGGGATTACATCCACATCATGCATATGTGAATGTCAAGAATCAGTATGCATGCATACATACATACATGTCTGCTTCTTACTTGTGCATTTCCCATATACTTGTTCGAAGCAGTTTCTGTTTGCATCTTGCGGCTACTGCGACAGATGTTGGAAGAACCCTAGACCTTAGATGCTAGATCGTAGACCCTACACCCTGGACCCTAAACCCTAAACCCCACCGAAACCCAAAACCCTAAACCCGAAGACCCTGAACCCTAAACCCCAGACCCTAAACGGTCTTTCAGACCTCATCGAGCGCTGGCCGTGCAGCCAAGATTCACCACGCACACAATCCCGGGCAGGAGGAACATACCTAGCTCATGGTCGAGATCGTATAAACAAATTAAACGTCTATTCCTTATTGTGTTTCAGAGTTCATAAACATTTAAAATTCTACCCAACTCCGGCAAAGCTGCAGTACCACCGGAGATCATATTCCACATCACCTTCGTCCTGCTTGTACCTGTACCTCACAAGCTGCACAAGGGTAGGATGGTTTAGGGTTTACCACCAGAGCTCAAATGGTGCCGTGATATCCAAGCGTCTTCCTGATATGCTCCTGATGATCAGTCTCATTGTGTCCTGAGCCCAGCTGGTCGGACATGATTTGCCGAAAACCCCTCAAAAACGAAACACTCTACCCGAAACCTGACGCATGACGCACTAAACACTGTACGAAACAAAGCGCTCAAAATCGCTACAAACGGAAAACAGATTAAGGGTTCAGGGTTTAGGATCGCAGAAGCCCAAACAGCCGGGTTTAGGGTTTAGGGTTTAGGGTTTAGGGTTTAGGGTTTAGGCCTTAACTCTAAAAGCCCCAATACAGTTACCCTCCCAACCCAGTCCTCCAAAGAGTCCGTTGAAAGCAATTTCCGCCGATTCGACGAGGTCCGGGGCCAGTTGTAAATGCCTGTACCTTCTCTCTGTTTCGGGTCTTAGGGTCTTTGGGTTTAGGCTTTCGGGTTTAGGGTTTAGGGCCTTAGGGCGTTAGGGTCTTAGGGTCTTTGGGTTTAGGCTTTCGGGTTTAGGGTTTAGGGTCTTAGGGTGTTAGGGTCTTAGGGCCTTTGGGTTTAGGCTTTCGGGTTTAGGGTCTTAGGGTCTTAGGGTGTTAGGGTCTTGGGGTCTTTGGGTTTAGGCTTTCGGGTTTAGGGTTTAGGGTCTTAGGGTGTTAGGGTCTTAGGGTTTAGGCTTTCGGCTTTAGGGGTTAGGGTCTTAGGGTGTTAGGGTCTTAGGGTTTAGGCTTTCGGCTTTAGGGGTTAGGGTTTCGGGTCTTAGGATTAGGACTCTGTAGGGGTTCGGGGTTTTAGATGTTTGCGGGACGCGGCTTGATTTTTTTGCTGCGTTCGGGTTTGAGGGTTTCGGGATTTAGGGGTTTGGGCCTTGGAGGTGTTAGGCGGTTTGGGGCGTTCTTAGGATATCCTAAACCCTAAACCCTGAACCTTAAACCCTAAACCCAAACCCTAAACCCTAAACCCTAAAACCAGGGTTGGGCTTGATTTTTCTAGGGCCTAGGCTTTCGGGCTGCAGGCCATGATGTGAGGGATGAAGAATTTGGGTTTTTTGGGGTTTGCCCGTCTTTCAGGTCCGCTTTCCAGTCTTCAGACTTGGGGCTTTATGGATCCATCGTTGGGTTTAGGGTTTAGGGCTTAGGGTTTAGGATTTAGGGGACTTGCCCTAATCCTACACCCCAAGACCTACATCCTACATCCCACGCTCTAAACACCAAACCCCCAGAACTTGCCAACCAATCATATCCGAATCTCCCAACCCTAAGCCCTCAACCTCGAAAGCGCCGGGCTTTCGATCGTAGGAACTTGGGTTTGGGTTTACGGTTTAGGGTTTAGGGTTCAGCGTTTAGGGTTTAGGGTCGAAAGCCGTGTTTCGGATTCTGTCGGGGCGTTTGGGGTTAATCGTCTAGGGTTCAGGGTTTGGGAAAGAGGGTTTAGGCTTCCCTAAACCCTAAACCCTAAACCCTAAACCCTAAACCCTAAACCCTTTTCCTGCGGTTTTGGGCCTAGGGTTTGGGGTTTAGGAACCAGGCTTTATTTAGGGTTTCAGGGCTCGGGCGTAGGAGTTGAGGTTTAGGAACAGGATTAGGGTTTCAGACGTTGGGTCAAGGGTTTAGTGTTTGCGGTTAAGTTTAGGGTTTAGGGTTTAGGGTTTAGGGTTTAGGGTGTAGGGTCGGTAGCACATCCAAGATGCATGTTGTGCCCCAGGGTCCACTGTAGGTAAGCCAGACCACCACAAACGCAGAGTGTGGAGACCACAACCAAACCTCTTGAGTACCAAGGCCTCGGCTGGAGACATAAGGCTTCGGGATTCAGCCTAAACCCTAAACCCTAAATCCTAAACCCTAAATCCCAAACCATAAACCCTAAAGGTCTGTCCCTGGGG